ATGCTTGCATGACCTGTTGCTCTTGCATTGGCAATGTAGGAGAGTCGGAAGTTTGCGATAGACCTTATGGTTTCTGTACCTTTCTGCAGCCAGCATCTGTTGAAGTCGCCGCGTCGTCTTCAGCATGCTCGCTACACAACTTGCCAACGGTGTTGGTTCTGTGAGTCGTCAGCCTGTCGGATGAGTGGACCGAAACCTTTCAGAAGCATCTGTCAAACTCAAGACGATACCTGTTGCTGTCTTGTCGTGTTCAGCGGGATGGGGGCGAATGCGGTTTTTCTCAAAATCGGAGAGGCAGACACTCTGGAGTTTCCGGGGCCTCGGGCCTCGCGAGTCAGACACATGCCCCGGCTAGAGAAGGGTAGTTTGCAATACGTGTAGGACTGAGGTTATTGGGTTTTTCAGATTGCAGATCTAACTCGACCCGAAGCTCACCTGTTGTCAGGTTAATGCGCCTCACCCGACTGGCACGCATGGCAAGGCCCAGCTGATGAATGTTCGGACTTAAACGTCGTAAGCCCTAAACAGAATAATCAAGCCACATACAAGTAGCTTGAATTAAAGCACTCGGCAAACGTTGGGGTCAAGTGCAGTGTTCAGGGATTGAGGGAAGCTGTTGTTGATTCGACGAGATTTTCTTGTGAGGGTCCGTCGGTGTTGCGTCAACAGTTTCAGGTTAGCGGGCTGCGGAAAGGAGTAGTGGCTTGCTTTTTGTCAATTTCTTGAGGTTTCAGCTCTGAAGGCAGAAGGTCAGAACGTAAATTGATAGGAAGACCTAAAAACCCCAGGCGAGTGTTTCGTCAGAGACCGGAAGGTGCCAAAGCCCTCTTTGCGACGTCAATCCTGGTTCTCTATACCCTTAGTATCTTCTCAACACCTCAGAAGGGTTTGAAGCAGTTGTCAGATTAAGTCCGGTCCGAAAAAGACCACGAATCCACTTGTCTCTTGTCAGGATCATCCGCAAGGTTCCGGAGCTTCTGATCATGGTAAAAGCTGTGGCCTCGGCCCTGAGGCCAGCGTTTTCGAGAGTGCACGCAATGTCCGGCGGCGGGATTTTGAAGATAATTGGGATTGCTCCTTGGCACTTCAAACCCTTCTGTGAAAACGCAATAAGCGGCCAATTTGCGTCAGAGGCGAATTTTGGCCATAGAGAGGGGTCTGGAACTGTGGAAAAGCACTGGTTCGAAACGACTAACCTTTGCATACTGCTCCGACTCTCCTTCAGAGCTTCCTTACCCCGCATGTAGGGCATGTACCTTGAAGCTACAGACCTTCCGACCTCCGTTCGAACCCCAAGGCTCGCCTCAACGCTGTGCGTCCTCCAGTTTGCAATCTCCCCTGTGGCCAGGTCGGTGGGCCTAGCGCTTGTGCTGCTTGGAATTAGCCGGGCTCCTGGCTTTCAGACCAGGGGCCTCCACAGGAGTTCAGTGAGAGCTTGGTAAGTCTTATCTGACCTGTTTTGCATGTCAACCGGGTTTAGGATAGAGCACCCTGGACGCAGGCAAACCTCGAGCAAGAGCTGAAAGTCCATAGGCTTCTTAGTCTTTACACCCAAGACGCTTAAAGCCTGTGTGAATACTGTGGCCTACAGCCTCGTCCTGCGGGTGGCATGATGTTTTGGGACAGTCAGTTCTCGGCTGGAGCTTCGACTTTCAGGCTTTCCATTACAAGTGCTCTACATGTAGGCCGCAGAAGCGACCCCGTCAGATCAGATGGGGCGAGGGTTGCATTAAGTGCTATGTGGTGTTACTCAGTAAGGTTCGAAAGAGCACTGCTGTTGTGCGGCGTTCTAGCGGAGCGAATCTGCGCAAGCTGCAAGAGCGGTTGTTGCAAACCTGGAGCAGGTGCCAGGCATCTGCATTTGCAAGCCGAGTCTAACTAACTAACTAACTGGCTCGTTGATTTGTAGGAGACTGCTCGGAGTTGGCCTGTGCACGACCCAGAGAGACCCTGAAACACAAGCCCGGAGGCCTAGCTGGGCCTAGTCCCCGGAGACTCCAAGATTTGTACCGGGGAGAGTGTCTGACTCTTTGACTGCTGAGGCGTCTATGTCTTTGCCATTGCTTTCCGCATGACCCTGGACGGCACCCCCGTAGGCGCGCGCGCACGAGCAGTGACGGATGTGAGGGGTCCAAAGAGGGGTTCGAGGCCCTGGCCGCCTTTTTCCTCCCAAGGTAAAGGCCAAAGGCCCACAAGCCCCAAGACTCTAAGACCCCCGCGAGCCGATTTCGTTAACAGAGCAGGCTTCGGCAAACCAACAGATCAAGGGCTCTGCTGGTGTTGGTCAATGCTCTGAGGCCTCCAGAACCCCAAGACGCCCTCCGCCAGCGCCAGGGGCAAGCATGTTTTCAAACTGCGCCATCGCCATGCACACCCTCATCATGCACGGAACTGTGGCTGGCAGACTAGCTTTGGTGTCGAAGGGCGAGTCTTCGGGGTTGTAGTTACGAGACACGCGAATGGAGCTGATTTCCTTGAGCTTCACAACTCTCGTCCTTGAGAGCTTGTAATGACCCCGAACGCATTTGCTTCAAGCCTCATGACCCACCCTAGACCTAGACACGAAAGCATCCGCAAGCAGCCCACATACTCTTCAGTTTGCTGTTGATCTTAATGAGTCGAAGATAGAGAGCACAGGCTGTGTGAGCATTCCTCGGCACCTTCACGGTCGTGCTCCAAACTTTCGGGTGGTCAGGGCCAGTTTGACGGCCTTTAGCCTTGAGCGTAGGTTTGGCAGGGGATGCGCTGACAAAGGGCTCAAACGGCTCAGCATGTCCGCCATGTCGACCTGCTTGTAAACCGTATCCACACATCTTTGCGCGAACGCGCACTCGTGAGTGAGGAACGTTCTTGGATGGGGTCTCGGACGTCATGGAAGAGCTGCTCACTGACAGCATCCCCGGCAACTTTGCGTGATTATGGCTTTCGGGGTGTTCGGGGAGCTACAGGTGAGTTTCCTTGAAGTAGTAAGTAGTCAGACAGGAGTGCTGCAGTTAGCAGGGAAGAAAATTGACTGGTGTTTCCTGTATACAAGACTAACGTGTTTGGCCTTTTACATAACTTTGTTTTCGGGTTTAGTTTTTGTTCTTTAGCAGACTGGGCTTAAGAAGTAGTTCAGTGCTTTCCAATGTAGAGCTTGTGATTGAGGCGTTGGGTCTAGTCTTCGAGGTTTTCAGTTTGAGATGTTTGGTTCAAGTTTTTGGGTTCACGGTTCGGGTTCTAGAGGTTAGGTTTCAGATTCCGTGTCGAGGGCTAAGTGTTTTTAGGGTTTTAGCTGATTTTTTGTTGTGTTGGGATCCGGGTTCAGGGGCTTGACAGTGGTTTCGGGGTTTAACAAACAAATTATACAACCCTCGAAGCCATAGTTTTTCGGTTAATCATGACAAAGCCTGGGGCCTAAAACCCTCCAAAACAAATGGATTCGAGAATGGACAACCCTTGAGAAAGGATTTCCGTATCTTTTCATAGGCGGTCAAATCTGACCAAACATGATCAAATCTGATCAAAGCCGTCTTTTGACCAGGTTTTTGGGGTTTGGGGTGTAGGATTAGGCAAACAGGGTGGGAATTTGAAGTTTCGTTGTGTGGTTTAGTTTTTGTTGACGGCTGTTTAGGATATGTGCGTATACATGCATATATAGCATTCCTTACGATTGAAAATGAAGATTGACACTTAATGATTCGAGGTTTAGGCTTCAAGGCTGAAGACTTGAATTGTAGGTTCTGATGCTAGGCTTTAGGGTTTAAGTTTTAGGGTGTGCCTTTCGGCTCAGGGGATTAAGGCTACTACTACTACTACTACTACTACTACTACTACTACTACTACTACTACTACTACTACTACTACTACTACTACTAGTACCACTTACCACTATTACCAGAGCTCTACCTACGACGACGATGATGGCGATGAGAACGACGTTCGCGAGGTTAAGAATGACGTCGGCGCTTGGGCTTGAGTACCGTCTAAGCTTGGCATAATGTGGCAAAATCCGGACCAACATTCCGAAAGACGAAAGCATCCTCCAGCGAAGGATTTGTCCTCATGCGCCTGGGCTGCATCCGATTCGAGCTTTGCTCTGGGCTGCTGCTAATCATGGAGTGGTCAAGGGTTGAGGGTTCACTCCAAAGCCAACTCGTTTCGTTCCGAATCGGACTCCGCAAATGCCATCTAACTCACATAGACCAGTCATCACTCAGCGAATTGCTTCGGTTAGTGATGGCCAGCCGTGTTGTTTGCTGTCAGTCTGCGTAGCGCAGCCCCTACATAAACTATGAATTCCTCTGTACACAGTCATGGTGAGAAGGGACAGCCTCTGCATCCCGGTATCCTGCTCAGCTTGCGTTTCAAAGTGGTTCCACATGGCACTTGCATTGGAAATGCTTGTAAAGCGCTGCAACGACGGGTCGGGACTTTCGAGTCCCAAGCCCTACGGTTGAAACCGCGGCGAAGCCCTTGTGTTTAAGAAGGAGGAAATCCTCAACCTGGGCAAGCAAGCTCAGGTACTGCTTCATCACCCTTTCAGCCAGGGTCTCAGGAATGATCTCAGCATTTGGTCTAGGAGCGTGAGAGTTACGCACCTGGAATCTGAGTGAAGAGCTCGCAGTTTTGCTTTGATGAACCCGCGGTTCGGATGGAAGAGTTCACGCCTACAGCATTCAGTTCTGTTGCCTGCTGGTTGGGGCTGAGGAGTCTCTGGTAGAAAGGCTGTATCTGCTCTGAAAAAGCTGCAGCTTAACAGCCTTTCTTCTGGAGTCTTGACAGATCTTGATAAGCTTAATGGCATGCAGCTCAGGTAGATTTACTGAGCTTTCCTGCTATAGACTCAGACCGGACGTCAGAAAAGCCGAACACCGCTGGATCCATTAAGATCGTTCCTGGAAGCTCAGGCTGTGACCATCATGAATATGCTGCCACTTGGAGTGTTAGTCGTAGTTGAGGCGTCGGTGAGGTTGAGCCTAAATTGTACTCCGAGTCACGCCTTGTCAGGTGCCTAACCTATGCAGGCCACCTGCCCACTATCCCTGAACTCTGTAACTTCTCGATGTCTACCAGGTAAGCAGACGAGCACGAAGACATTTCCTCCCAAGCAGCACCTTCGAACCCAGCCAAGGATTGCCATCCTCTGCGAAGTGATCACAGCCGTAGCTGATGCTGAAAAAGAGGCTCTGCAGGTGAGTTGGACGACGGTTTCTTGGCTGTTGACGCGGATGGCTTTAGAGCTGAGGCCTTCCTGGTCCCCCACGTGTAAGCCTCATAGGACTACGACACCCAGAGTCCATCCTGAGGGTACAAGCTCTGAAGTTTTGACGAATATATGCACGAGTTTCTGGACGCAGGTGTTTGCTCTTTTCTGTTTGCCGGTGCGCGGCGCGCACAAGCAGCGCACAGTGATCTGGGGTCGTGCCCAGAGCCCGCGCCCTAAATCGTAACCCCAACCCTTTCTCAGCTATTCACCCATGCCGTGAGCCCACTCCAGTAGACCGTCCCACGCATGGAGAGCCTGTTGCTGACATCCCAGGAGGTTCTGCAGACATGTCTCTCGGCCGGCGCGGACCAGAACAATGACGGATGCATCGATCTGCAGGAGTTCCACAGTATGTTGGCTCAAATCTCAGGCTGAAAGTCTTTACATGGATCTCTGAGCAAGAACTTGTTGAGGATCCTCTAATGCATGCCGAGGCCCACATCGAAAAGCCAGGGTCTTGAAGTCTTCTCATATCACCTTTGTTGGTCCGACAGAAGTGCTTGCGAATGCTGGACTAGACGTTCTTGCGAATGCTGGATACAAACTCTGGGGGTTGAGGTTAGCATTGTCTCTTCTTTGCACCGAGCGGCGCACAAAGCGTACCGGAGCAAAACATGTTCCTCTTGACACGAGAATCATAGGATCTCGATCTTGGCCGTAAGATGTACAGGAGCGATTGCCCCGCCAGTTGAAGATCCCTTGTCCGGATCCGACTACCGGGCCGAAGCAACCGAAGCCTTGAGCAGGTTTTTGTTCGCAAGTCCAGCAGCCCTTCGCAAGCTGAGCATCTTTCAGGCATGCTTCAGAACCAGCAGGTGAGGAAGGTTCTGCACGAGGTGGAGTCACAGCTGCAGAGTGTGGGATGTAGATGAGGTCCTGCTTTGGCGATTATTTGTGATCTAGGTTCGTTATGGGGCTTGATGGGGTGGCTACAAGAAGCCTTGGGGCACCGGTTTGCCTGGGCTTGCTTCCTGCTGCTACTTAAGAACCGCTGCATCGCTTCTGCACCGACATTTTTTCGTAACATTTGCTTCCGAAAAGTCAAAGATCACAAGCCCTACTGTGATAAGACCGCCTGATGCTATGTGGTACTTATTTGACACTCGGTGGATCTCCATCTGAGGACGTGGATGCGAGGCTCTCAGTTCTGAAAGTGCGAGGGTTCGAGGCTGCGGTGGTCTAAGCTTGCGAATGAGGGGATTTGTGGCAGGCGGAAACGTGTTGGAGTGTCGGGTTTTTGTTGGCGGAGCCCACTATGCATGTAAAGTCTTCTTGCAAGCCCTTAGGCAAGAGTCATAGCGGAACTGCGTTTATGCACGACCGTTCGTTTCAAGTTTGCCTTGCTGGCCTGGCGGTCGCGGCTGCGCAAACTTCCGGTCGAGCAAGGGCCAAGATGCGTTGAAGGTATTGAAGAACTGGGAGGATTTGAGACAGCTACAGTACAGGGTCTTTGCTGAACAGGGTGTTTTGCCACCCGTGCTAGGGGAGGCCGAGGGGCTGTAATGGCTGCGGCTTCAACGTCCAAAGATTTGATAGCCCGTTGAACCATGGCCCGAGACAAGATCTTTACGTGAGCTTCTGCTGGCATTGTCTTGGGCATTGCACAGATCGAGCTGTGGCTGTGGGATCGTGTGATGCGTTGGGTTATGCTTGCCGGGTTTTCCAGCTTCAGCATAAACAAAGACGTTCGTAAGCATCCGGATGCGGAAACACTGCGCTCGTTCGCTCTGCTGACTCTCGCTCTCACTGTCTCTCACTGTCTCTCACTCCGTCTCATTTCCCAAGTTCTCGTTCGCTGTTTTACCTTCCTGCCGCTTTGGGTTTGCGAGCAAGACCACGGAAGCCTCGAGGTCCAAACCCTGGTGAATTTCGCAGACGTGCTCTTCGAGGCTGCATTTCTGTCACTCATTTAGGTGGGTTATGGTATGTAACTGTTTTACATTGGACGTGCAGAGCCTCCAGCTGAACCTCAGATCCTTTGGCTGTCAGAAGGATTCAGTTAAGGTTCAGGTTGCAGACTCGGAGGCTCAGAAAGATTGACAAGGATGGCCCTGCGATGGATCGTCCTCGGATGACTTTGAGAAACTTTCCCTTGGAGCATTCAGGGGTTGAAGCGGCAAAGGTTTCCTGGAAACGAGCCCCTTACAGCAAATGTTGGCCGTCTGTGGCGCTTGAGGCATCGACTCCCAGTCTGAAGCCCGAGAGCAGGAACCAGGCTAAGACATAGCCCTGGTCATGGGTTACATGACCAGCCCAACGAATGGTGCCTCGACGAAACTGCGGCCTTGCAGGATGATGAAGGAACCACGCAGCCACAGCAACTCAGCTGTTCTTCAACGCCTCTCTGTATCACCACCACGGTGTTGCTGCTGCTGCTGCTGCTGCTGCTGCTGCTGCTGCTGCTGCTCTTCGTGTTGTTAATAATTTGCTTCTTGTTGAAGATTTAAATTGAGCGAACCATACGAGCGATCAGGCCTCGTGCGATGCGCAAGCATGCCCGGCAACGGGGGGTGGCCGCCCAGGAGTTGAAGTGAAGTGCGGTGAAGCCTGCGGCGCCTTAGAAAGAAGTGCAGGCCAATGGCCTCCTACGCACCGAGGGCGCCCACACGTTCTTTGTTAAGACCGAGGCTGCCCTTCGCCGATTTCATGCAGCGGCTGCTGCAGCTGAGAGGCCGAAATACGGCGACTGTGAAGGCACCGCAGGTTCTAGCGGACTTTGCTGCGACTTTTGGTGAGGAGGTTTAAGGCTTGCATGCGTTTAGGCGGTGACTCCAGGCATTCCGGAGTTTTGCGCTTTGGGCTCCTTTGCGCTTTGGTTCTGGAGGGTAGATTATAGGACGATGGTCATGCCATGCCAATAATAAGTCTGCATGTCGTTGTCGGATTGAGATAATTGACAATGCGACACGAGCGTACGTTCTGCATTGCCGACAGCAATTTGCCGATGGCTAGGACTAGGAGGTTGAGGCAGGAGCATTAACGTTGAGGCCCTGCCAGCTGCAGGTTAAAGTAGTCTCTGCCTCAACCCCAGGATGTGACACTTATGCAGAGGGGTTTTTATCAGGGAAGGTACCGTCCGTTTGAGGCGTAAGGTGGGATGCCGACACGAACCCTTGCAGGTTGAGTCTTTGGGTTGTAACTTGCAGAGTTGGGGGTGTTGGAGCCTGCCGTTGTTGCGGACTCCTACCAAGCTTCTGGCCATTGGTTTCTTTGATTTTTGGAGTGCCGCAGATATGCACATGCAGACTGTCACAAAAGCCGTAAGAAGGGCAGAGGACCACATTGAGAAATTGAGCCACATTGAGTTTCAATATGGCGGATCCAAGATCCAAGCACACAAACACACATGCACGTACACGTACACAGACACATGCACAAACGTATGTAAAACATGTATATATATATATATGTATATATGTAGATTACACATTTATGTGTTGTTTACTTGTGTTTTTTGATTATGCCCACATACGTAGACATGCACCCATGCATGCCTGCGTGATCCTACATGTATGACCATGCAGAACTCTTGACATGCCTGTGGCTTCCCGGCAGAGGTAGTTTCGTGGATGTAGAAATGTTCGTCTTCTGTATTAATTTCAGGGAACAGAGGCCCAGGTAGCTGAAGCCAGCTTCTCACAGGATCTCGTCGATCTTCGGAAGTGGATTAGCTGCTTGGCGGCCATAGCATTCTCAGTCTTCCTTCATCCTCGCTTTGGGATTCAGGCCCTGCAAACCCGACCTGTTGTATCAAAGCGAGCATGCAAGATTGATCAGACAGCCAGAGTTGGGCTTTGGGGTCTGAGGTGAATAGTAGGCGGCCAAAAAGCTTTCGCCAGGCCGATAGCACTACAGAATCCCAAAGCCCGTGCTGAGTTGTGATGTTGTGTTGCGATTGTTCTGTCGAGATTTTGTTCCTGTTTATTTTGTTGGCATGCATAGCAGCCGTGACAGTCCTCGGCTCCTGTCTCATGATCTTCGGTTTGGGCCCCTCGAAATGCTCCGCCTTTGCCACTTCGGCAAATGCCTCAAAAGCCTTCCAACAACCAACGGAATGCGTTGCTGCGGGCAAGCTTCATGGCATTTTGAGGAAGGAGAGCGTCATAATCAACATAGCATATGATATGACCATGGGCAGGAAGACCCGAAGGAAGGTCCGATTAGTAAGAACAAGCCTGAAATGGTAGCAACATGTAGCAACTCTCTCACGGCCTCAGAGGCAGCTCCGACTCCTGAAGCGAACCCACGTTGCATGGAACTCCTCCATGAGCCAAGGTCGTGAGCTGCAGCAAACGTGCCCTGGTCTGCCGTTTATGGGCTAGTCTACTTACATGGGTAAACGCTCGGCGAGTGCACGTTAGTTTTGAGAGACCAGATCAATCAACACAGGGGATTTTCGTTTTGATTCGTCCAGGACGCAGGGATTCAGATATTTGGCGGAGCAAGGCTTTCGGGCTGAGGCTAACACCCCATAGGGACTTCAACTTGCGGCAGCTGTCGGAGCATGGCCTGATCCCTGGACCTGTTCTCTTGCTCGGCAAACCAACCCTCGCCCGCCCCACTGTTTGGGTTGTAGTAGGACGTGATCAGGTTGAAGTTTCTCCATGCATATCCATGCAACACGACAAGATTTAATTCTGGATTTTCCACTTCCTGTGTTCTTTGGGTCGAAAACTGTTTTTGCCGTGGTTCGCAAGTCGACCACGGAGAAGGGTGATGTACAGTCCACAGCGATATGCAGCGAGCTCGTGGAAGCTCGAAATGAAGCAGTATTGTTGTCCAGAGCGTGCGTGCTGAAACTTTTCTTTCCTGTAGAAGAGTCGAGGCAGGATGAGGGGTCGCGCAGCTGTCAAACGTCCGATTTCTGTGCGCTCAAGTCCCCAGTTGAAGTGCAGTGGGTAAGAGGCCAAATGCTTCTTGCTCGTGCGGCGGGGTGATGGTTTCCTTGCCTTTGTGACGAAGTTTGTGTGGAGTTTCAGGTTTTTCCGCCACTCAGCTTCCTCCTGGCTGCCGATGAAGACACAACCCCGGCACACCTCGGCTTCAAAACTCAGACGAGACTTTGCCCGATGTTGGTCGAATCGGCAACGTCTGAGAATGCAACAGTGCACTCTGCAAGGTGCCATCAGTGCGGTGCTTGGACATCAAGAGTCTGCTTTTGCAGAATATTTCCAGGCTTGGATGGCCCGTGATATTTCCAGCGAAGTCTTTGGCAAACGTCAGCGGCAGCGTGATATTCTGCCGTTGCCTCCGGCCCGTAGCTGGGAGATAGACTGGAAAGTGCCTGTTGGAGTCACGATTGATACCGCGCTGCAGCTGTTGAACTTGTGTGTGGCCGCCCTGAACTTGCTTGCCAGTGATTTGCGAGTCACTCGTGGTTTTCCGGACGTACGCGCCCCCACTGTGGCACAGCAACAAGTGTACAAGCATGTTGCTCACAGGTGCACGCGATTCCTCGAGCAGCTGGAGATGTTCTGTGGTATGAATGTGGCATGGTTGGGCAGTTTCCAGCACTTCGAAAGCAAGTCGTCGAGCAAATACCCGAGCATGCAGGCCGAAGCCGTTGACCTTCCTTCGAAAGCTGCCACGTGTGACCCCAGCTTGCTGTTGACTGGCGAGCTTGCCAGCATCACCGTGGATGCACAGCACATTTTCCCTGCGCAGTCACGGGTTGAGGATTCAACGCTGGGTCCCGACAGAACGCAACGTGCTGAGTACGTCAAGCTGGTCTTCAAACAGCTGCAGTGCGGAAAGACTCGCCTTCGGCAGCGCTGCCGTGCGGTGGGTGGCGTTTTCTGCGTTGCCAAGGCGCATGGCAAACAGCGTGAGGTCTGGGATGGTTCACAGGTGTCGCAGATGGCTGCGAGGCCCCCGCCTCCCAGTAAACTTGCAAATCCTGGCTGTTTCGTCGATTTACTTTTTGAGCATGGCCAAGAGGTGCACATGTCAAAGAGGGATGTCCAGACATGCTTCGACAATCTTCAAGCTCCAGAGCAGTTGCAAGAGTGGTTTGGTAGGCCTCCTGTTACCTTGCATGAGCTGAGCCGTGTCACGGGGTTTTCCACAAAGAAGCTGCAACAGTACATCGTGAAGATCGAAGGTGTGGAAGCCGTCTCTCGGTTTACGCCGCTTTTTCCTACGAGCACGGTGTGGCCGATGGGTTTCAGTTGGAGCTCCTGCGTTGCTCAAGCCTGCACTGTGTCTTGTTGTTGCAAGGCTGGGGTGCGAGAAGAGGACTTCCTGACGCTGGACGCTCCTCCGCCTGTTGGTGCAGAGATTTGTGGCGTTGCCACTGACGACACGTTTTTCTTTCACACTGACAAAGCTGCTGCTGCGACGAGGCTTGCAAAACTGGACCAGGTTCTGGAAGAGCATGGGATGCCGAAGAACGCTGCCAAGGATGTCACTATCCAGCCTCATATGACTGCCCTGGGCTGCGAGCTATCGGCAAATCCTCCTGCGGCTGAGCCGGCTACTTCCAAGCTTGTGCCGTTGTGGATGGCCTTGTTGGATGCATGCTTCATGGGAAAGGCGTCACCGGCTGCGCTCAATCGTGCACTCGGTGTGGAACAATGGTTTTGCTTGCTGTCCCGACCTATGTTCAGCATCTTCGATGCAGTGTACGAGTTTGCTCGCAGAGAGCCGGCAGACAAAGTTCAGCGATTGCCGCACAAGGTGCAAATGGAGATTACGGTGGCGATATGGTTGATGCCGCTTCTTGGGGCTGATCTAGGGAGGTCTTTCCTACCCAAGCTTCTAGCCTGCGATGCGTCAACTGTCTTCGGTTTCGGTGTCAGCTACATGCCCTGCAGCACAAGCTTGGTGAAGGAAGTGAGTCTACTGTCTGAAAGACGAGGGGATTTTGTTCGTTTCTTTCCCGATGACGATGCCCCTCCGCAGAAAGATAGACTCGGAGTTCCACATCAGCTTCCCTTTCACAAGTGGCAGTTTCGCACGGCCATCAGCGCAAAAGCTCAGCATAAGGCACATTCTGGCAATTTGGAAGCTCATGGTTTGCACATGACTCTTAAGTGGGTTTTGCGCAAGCCTGCCAATTTCAACCGTCGCTTGGTCGTGCTGATTGATGCCAAGGCTGTGTTAGGAGCCGCCACGAAAGGGCGCACTTCTGCGTCAAGTGTGCGTGGGATTTTGAGGAAGATCGGCAGCTTGCTCCTGGCTACCAACTCTCTCTTGAAACTCGTGTACGTGCCGTCAGAAGACAATCCTGCTGATTCTCCGTCAAGAGGCATTCGCCAATGGTCCAGATCGCGACTCTGCAAGCGCTCGGGCAATTTAGAGAGGAGCCGTCGCAGGTTGATTCGGAACATGAAGCGATTGACCAAAGCATGCGAAGAAGGCGAGGTACACTGCACTGGTGCGCTGTAATTACTTCCTTTTCGGTTTTGTTTTCACATCCTCGCTTTCATTCTGCCGCTGGGCACCGGGAATTGAGTGAGGGTGGCTCTTCCTTGTAAGTGCCCCTCTCAACTGGCTGTGGGCTGAGCTGGATTCTGTGCTTGGCGGTGTGAGTTTTCGCGGTCTGAGCCCGCCGCAAGATGCCACGGCATTGCTTTATCACTGTTTGTTTGAATGCACGAGCAAGGCAGTTTTGATGCACTCCGTTTTTGAGCGGCAATTCTTCGTTGCCAGTCGCTGAGGGTTTGGGATGTTTCGATTCCTGCCACCTTAAAGGTGGTCTGCTCTCTGTGGGCTTTGGATTGCAAGATGTCTCTACCTTCAGCGAG